AGGAGCAAAGGGCATCGCTACTACGAGCAAGGACGCTACTAGGGGCTCCTGGCATTGCGGCATCACCACTAGTAGCATTCTTACTACTAAGAACAAGAAGCTACTAGGAGCAAAGGGCGTCGCTACTACCAGCAAGGACGCTACTAGGGGCTCCTGGCATCACTACTAGTAGCATTCTTACTACTAGGAACAATAAGCTACAAGGAGCAAAGGACATCGCTACTAGGAGCAAGGACGCTACTAGGGGCCCCCTTTCAGAGCTGCCAAGGCTCATCTTCTGCGTCTTCGGCGATGGCCGGGAAGCGGTGGAGGGGACGAGAACCAGCTGGTCATGGGCGTAGGTCGAGGTGGCAAGGCTCTTTGACTCTTCAAATAGTGCCAACTCCATCCCGGTGGACTCGTTGTCGGTGGTGACTGAGATTTGACGCAAAAGCTTCGGCAGGCCTGCAAGGGGGCCTTCATCTATGTCCATGAGTGCAGGAGTTTGGGAAAACCCTGGCAACTCGCTTGTAGCTTTTCGGCTACCTGAACGTGAGATGGTACCAGGTAACTCGCTTGTAGCTTTTCGGCTACCTGAACGTGAGATAGTACCAGGTAATTCGCTTGTAGCTTTTCGGCTACCTGAACGTGAGATGGTGCCAGGCAATTCGCTTGTAGCTTTTCGACTGCCAGGGCGTGAAGGAGTGCCAGACAATTCGCTTGTAGGTTTTTGGCTGCCAAAGTGTGTGGTGGAAACGAGCAGTTCGGTGGCAGCAGGCTGTTCGCTTGTAAGGCCAACATGTAAAGCCAGCGATTCTGCAGTTGCTCTCAAGCTAGCAGGATGTTCATAATGTGTGACAGTGGCAGCCAACTCCCCTGTCAGGTGCCGGCTGCTTGAACGTGAGATTGCCATGGGCAACTCTCCTGTTGCATGCCGGCTGCTTGAACGGGAGATTGCAGTGGGCAACTCCCCTGTCGGCTGCCGGCTGCTAGAACGTGAGACGGCAGGCAACTCGCCTGTTGCATGGCGGCTGCTAGAACGTGAGGCGGCAGGCAACTCGCCTGTTGCATGGCGGCTGCTTGAACGGGAGAGTGTAGAGGGCAACTCTCCTGTTGCATGCCGACTGCCTGAGCGTGAGATGGTGGTGGCCGACTCCCCTGTAGCGTGCCGACTGCTTGAACGTGAAATTGGGACCAGCAAATCTGCACTCTCATGCCTAGTGCTGGCTCGCGAAACAGTGGAGACTCCTCCGGTTGAAAGGTGTCTTCCCTCTTTCGACCCCTTTCTCGGCTCCAAGCTCCTGCTGTTCGCTGCATCTGAGCTGCCCACTGAAGTCCGGTGATCTTCCAGAAAGTTCGAGCGATCCTCGCTTTTGGGGCTGCGCGCGGAGTGTGGAGCCCGGCGAGGGTCTTCGGCCTCGGAGGCAATCTGAGCCTCGCTCGCCCATTTGTTTAAGGCCTGAAGGTCTGCCACCACCTCAATCGCCGGCATGGAGCCTCAAAGATCCTCCCATCTCTCCATGGCCAAACGGCCGGCCCCCTAACCAGCTTCTTCCCGGCCAGAAAACTGAGCGGAAAAAAAACGGCTGCAGATGAGATTCATGAGACTTGTGAGAAATGTTTTTCAGATAAAGTCCCTGGCTCCTCCCTTCCACTTTGCTGACTACCTAGACCGTGAATCAAAGACATGAAAGCTGGGGGTCAGGTTAGTGGCTGCCAAAGACAAAGGAAACAGCATCAACTCAATTCCTCCTCGAATGCTCTAGCCAGATCTCCGTGCCTAGAAAGGCACCTGCGATGGGCTTGTCCGAGAAAAGAAACAGCGAAGCTGGGCAATGTAGCTGACCTCAAAACATGGAGCAGTTAGCTGTGATTCAAGAGGCAAGCTGGGATTTTTGGTGTGGAGGAGTTTTGGGAACAAGTGGTTTTGTTGTTATCGCCGTCACTGATGACTTGTTGATGGTTGCGCTGAACTCTTCCTTGTCCCACAGGTACCACTGATGTCTTTTCAGGTCAAATGATGCCAGCTCCCTTTACCGATGCACATTAGAACCACCCACGGCATGCCAGGATACAGTTGGTTTAAGCTAGCAGCAAAGAAACATCACGGCCTACATGGCCTCTACGCCTCTTTTGACCATCAGAATGACAAGTGGCAAGACAGGCGCTTTCGCGGGGCCTTGGCGGCGCGGTCCCAGCTAAGGTTGGCTATGGTCCCTCTAGTCCTCTACGTAGCGAAACTGGTGGTTCTGCCTCCGCGAAACTGCAACAATCAATTTAGTTTCAGCCGAATATGTATCACTGTCTGCGAAACGAAAAAGCACCTTGGCACCCTGCAGCTCGTGGACTGTTTAGCAACGTTCGGCATCCAAGGCTTGCTCTCTTCCAAAATAGAAACCCTGCGTGACATTGCTAGTACCCCCGAGTGGAATATGGCTGCACAGTGTTGATGGTATGCGAGAAGTGCAAGTCGGTCTGCTTAAGATGCCTTGACAACAATGAAGAACCTGCAGTAAGCTGAGCAGGTCATCTATCATCCATAAGCCTCTGAGGTGAACGCAGAGCTGGAAGAGTAGCCCCCTCCCAGCCTCGAAAAGAGAGATGCTATGGCTGTTGAGTCAAACCCCCATAGGCCTTGAGCACTGTGTAGGGATGTTCATGTTGGCCCACAAAAGGTGTTAGCCCAGGGCTGACTCTAGATCCCAAGGCACTGCCTGAAGAAACTCATTCGAAGTGCGGAACTGCGCAGAATGCTGCTCTCATCTCGATGGTCAACTGCCTTCAGTATGATGAACCAATGGTTCTGGTTTGAGTCCAGTGTAGCCGAAGTTCAATGAACCTTGATTTTGCAAAAAGCCTTCAGCTTGGCAAGCTTGAGTATGTCCAGCCGCGTATAAACGTACCCATTTGGTACGTAGATATTCATCCAGAGTCTCTCGAAAAAAAACTGACTCCTCCATCCGGTCACTCGATTGAATCACTCTTGCGGCGGGTCGGATGGGACGTCCTGTGAGCCGCACTGTGCAGAAACCACCGAGGATCTTCGGCCGGAGGGGGAGGCCATGCTCGGCGCCTCGTGTCAACGAGAATCTCTGAGATGGTCAGACATGCAATATGAATGTCCATTAATATGCCCCAACCTATGTTTTAAAGTTATAGCGATGGCCTCCAACCTAATAGCGATGGCCTCCAACCTAATAGCGATGGCCTCCAACCTAATAGTGCAACATGAATGCCCATGAATATGCCCATGAATGCCCCAAAGATGTGAACTGACTCAGCTGGGCAAAGCAAGTTCTTCCACTGACCCGGCTGAGCGCCCAGTCCCATGAAAGTCTTGAGGTCACAGACATCGCGTCATCCTGAACAGTCAATGCAAATGCTCAAGAAACTGTGTCTCCGAGTTATACCTGCTGAAAAGCTCATTCCATCTTCCTTTGTAATCTGCTTGGAGAATCTTGAAGATGCTTCCTTTCAAGCAGTCCTGTGGAAGAATTGGAGAGAAAACATGGGTCCGTTGGGAGAAAGCACAGGGCTGGGAGAGGATCTTGCAATGAGCTTGGGATCCTTGCGTCATCGAAGTCGCCAATGACAGATTGAGCACCTCTGGCCAGCTAAATGCGCTGGAGGCAGGCGAGTTCGCTCTAAAGAATTCTTGTCCAAAGCCCATACTGCGCGGTTTGAGCCCTTGCAAGGTTTGGCTCTGAGATGAGTTCGATGTTCCCACCGAGAAGCCCTGTTGACATGTTCTCGAGATTTTACGCCCCACTCAGCTTTCTGTGCCCTGAAGCGCAGGGATCACCAAGGCTCCGCACTGGGGGACGGTGGACGGCCTGTGGATGTATCTCCCGTGTATCTGATTCTGTGTCACGATTGGATGCTTGAAGACTTCGCAATCCAGTGCCACATGGTCAACCATTCTGACCATGCCTGGAATGTGACAGGCCACTTCTCACCACAGGCTCCAGACTCCCAACTTCCCCGGTACAGAAGAAAGAACATCTACAGCTTCAAGAGTCTGCTGGCTTTAGAGGATGTGCAAACCTGAATCAAGCCACACAAGCTCAAGCCTTTCAACCAATTGCTCCAAGAGCCACTAATCTCTTCTGGCCTGAAGTTACACGGCTGGTTCCACGGATCTCAAGTCGCCATGGAAAGATCAGGCGTGACACGGTCCAAGTATGTACATCAAAACGATTGTGTTTATCTGCCGCACTTAGAAACAAGTGCCACGCTAGTAGTAACAGGTGCCTTACTAGTAGTAACAAGAAGCTTCTATGCGCAGCCACTTGTGGGTCAAAGACGCAGTGTCAAAAATCCAGCGAAGCAGAACTCTGGTCCCGCACTGACTGGCAAATTCTTCCGAGAGGCGTACCTTAGAGACCGGGAGTTTCGATAGGTCGGGAAGATTGATATTCCATAAATAACCAGGAGTGAGCTGATGCAGACTTTCTTCAAGGGGTTGATACTCCTGCCAAGTCACGTTCGCTTCACAACTGCAACGGGGCATCTCTCGCTTCCCGTTCTGGTTCCCAGACATACATCGCCACAAGCATTGTGTACGCACTAGCCGAACAATCTCTGTATATAGGTGTGTGTGTGCCTTGCAGGATGCTTTTCCTACATATGGGTTTGTATTTCAATGGGGAGTTCTCCCCCAACCAATGGATTTTGGTCTACATTCCTTCTATAAGAGGTCTTTGGAGGTCTCTACAGTATACACACTCACATCCGTCTTGGCATTCTGTAAATGATTGACAAGGATGACCGGCAATTGGAAGGCATTGGATCCTTGTCAGCATGGCTTGCGTAAGGTGAACAGTCTTTAAAGAAAGGTCAGTTACCCTCTAGTACTTGTGTTTGGGTAGAAGAGTTCTTTCAACTTCTTGCATGTTGCTATTCGGCATTGACTTCCTTCACGTCCCAAGTATGTTGCTCCATATCTATTTGGCGAGCAAATGATTTCCCGCGAATGGACCAGGCCATCGTTCTTCATTGTGGCACGGCGACTGTCCTTGTTGGGCTGCAAGCCTATGGCTAAGATTGTGCCCACATTGTGTTGTGTGTGCATGTCAATTTAAGCAGCTCGTTGAGGGGCAAGCAAATTGCAACCCCAAAACAAAATCAACAAGACTCCTACAACCTCCCCAAATGATGCTGGCTGTTGCCACAAGAAGACTGAAACCAGGATGCTGCGCACTGCTGCGCATTGCTGCGCATTGCTGCGCATTGCTGCGCATTGCTGCGCTATCCATTGCTTGGCTCTTAAAGGCTCGGACGAGCCAAATCTCTTGCCAATTGGTGGACCAGGATTCCAGGCCCAAAGCTCTTCGGCCCCCACTTTCACATCGTCAACGACCTCAACTCACCACCCGAGCGAAAGGAAATCTTTGAGATCGAAGGGCCTCATCCCTTCAGTTCCCCGCACTTGCTGAATGATCAAAGAAGTGACCAATTTGGGGTGTCAACACCAAAAATTGAATCTCCCAAAACTCAACATCTCCGAATAACACATGTTGCGAGTTCTGCACATCTCTCTTCCCTCCAGGTTCTGCACATCCTGCAAGATGCCGCCGGCCTCCGAATCCACCGCTCTCCGCACCGAGCGGCACCCCACCCCACACGCGTCGCTCACAGCGCGAAGCGGAGCAGCCTGCTGGACATTGAGCAAGGCGCCAAAAAGCCGGGCAGCGGCGGCGGGAGGTAGCGCCTCATGGTGCCACAAATCTGGGTGAAGACTGTAGTAGCAAAGGACGCTAGTAGTAGCAGGTGCATGGCTACTAGTAACAGGTGCATTACTATTAGTACCAAAGGACGCTAGTAGTAGCAAAGGGCATCGCTACTAGGAGCAAGGACGCTACTAGGGGCTCCTGGCCTTACTACTAGGAGCAA